CTTGTGTGCCTTTCTGTTTCCAGTATCCTTTCACCTCGTTCTTCTGGGAACATTCTGGTGTTGCAGAGGCGGAGGAGGAAAAATGCTTTATGGCCCTGCTCTTTCAGGCTGTTGTGTACGGATATTTTGGGTGGCCATGCGCTGCCACTGAGAGTTCACTGCATGCTTAACCAGGTGGGCTGTGCGAGTGCCGGTGGATAAATCATGGAAATATGGTGAGATGTGTGCCTGCAGTGCAGCTGGGGGAAGCACTTAGGGGCTGATCATTGGTTTGTGTCTCACGTCGGAGACCCTGGTGGGTTGAGAGGTAAGAAATAAGTGCAATGAATGAATTAATAAATAAATTCAGGGGTGGTGGAGACTTGTGAGGAGCATTCTTATTCTCTCAGGATAGTGCTGTGTTTGTGTCCTTGTGCGTGAGATAGTATTCTGTGCCCAGGGAGAGCACATTTTACACATCTGCCAGTTTGTTGCTCCTCAGTGATGGTCATGATGCCTGTATATTGCCTGTCAGAATAGAAACTACATGCCTCTCAGTGCTACTTGCACAGAAGGGGAAGGAGAGTCTGAGAAAGGAGCATGTGGTTCTTCCCACATTTTCTTTGTGGGCTTCCCAGAGGTTCCTGGCTGACCTCTGGGAACCAGGGTGGTGGGTAGACAAGGCTTTGGTCTGCTCTGTTGGGGCTCTTCCTGTATCTGTCTGCCTTGGTAGGGCTGTTCTCTCTGGCATGATTCTGCTGAAGCAGCCTCTGTGGTTAATTCCTGGCTTCCTTTCCTCCTCCTCCTTCTGGAGGCTGGATGTGCAAGGACTACTTATCATGAGCCATATGTGAAGGTGTCCTTGGCTGAGCAGCCTTTTCCTGACAAAGTGTGTGCCTCATCAACCTGAGAAGTGGGTTGTGTATTACGTAGTTCTTCCCACCCACTTGTGAACCGAAGCAGAAAATGGCTAGCATGCCACGTGTGGCCAGTTTGGGGGCACCCCCTTACCACAGCCTTCCCAGGCTGCTCTCCCCAGCTTTGCATTCTACCAATAATTCAGCCATAAAAGTGAAGCTCTTTTCCTGCTGACTCTTCACATTTGGTGCTTGCTGCCGCTGCTGACAAATGTAGCTTCCTGCCTGACACAACTTCTGCCTGTCAAGCAAAGTGCTCTGGCAGGGCAGCCACCTGCCTCCTCCTTGCATGGAGCCATACCAGGAAAACACATCCATCAAGGTCTTACTTGACTTGTCATGTGTGGAAGGTCTGTATTTGAGAACGTTTGCTAACCATGCCCCTAGCACACCAATGAGTCGGCCTTAGATGGCAAATGTGTGAAGGTTTCTGGCATTGCTCTTACATGGCAAGGGGAGGTCAATGCAGGGTATGGATACTAGGTAAGTGCTGCCTCCTGGTTGTGGCAGAATTTTGGTTTCATCTGGGCTCCCAATTGGCTTGCGATCTCTAACCATCTTGCCGTCTGTCTGTTTGCTTGCCAAGCAAAAGTATTACACCCGGTTGGCTCTTCCTCTCTCTCCTCACCCTTCTAGCTTTCAGTATCGAGTCTTGTGAATTATGACTTTGACATCTATTGGGAAGACACCTGCTGTAGCTGCACTCCTGGGCCTTGTGGTTTCTCAAAGAATCCTGAAACGTTTGGGGTTGGAGCTCTGCTAGAAGGCAGATTAAGAGGGATGTGTAAAGGAGGCAGAGGGCTGTTGCCAGCACATTCACTCTGAGACTCCCTGGACACTCTTTAGAGTTAGAAGGATGCATTAAATACATCTGGCTATTAACTATTCTATCTGGGCTCTGAATAACGCTTTAACTTATTACCAAAAAAACAAAAACAAAACCCCACTTTGCTATTGGCAAAAGGACTAAAAATGTGCAGCACATCCAGTTTAGTTCTGTTGAATGGGTTGTGTATTAAAACTTCTATTTTTGAGAGCTGGAAAAAATTGAAAGGTGGGCTGATAAACTCAAGCCTAACCTCTAAGCCTAAACTCTTATTAGATTCTGTGCTCTCTAGGATTTTGGATGCTTCCAGGTAAAGGTATGTTATGGAATAGCCCTCCCTCAGGCACACAGACACTGCCATCTTCCATAGGTACCCCTCTGTGTCTTCCCACTTTTTCCTCCTTGCCATAAGAGGACTAGTAAGAAGGGAGAGATAAAATAGCTGGACAGTGTCTTTTGATAGCCACTGCTGAGAGGCCTCCATCTGGAGCCAACCTGGGCCTAATGAGTAGCTCAAATCTTGCCGCTAAACTGCTCATGATTCATTTTCGTAGCACCTTTGAGACCAACTGAGAGAAAGAGTGAAATTGGTAGCATAATCTTTTGTAAACTTAAATCTGTGTGTGTCTGAGAAAGTAGACTAAAGTCTATGAAGTCCTATGCCACCAGCTTCTTTCGTTCTCTCAGTAAGGTCCAACAGGGTCCCTTTGCATACTGATTCAGACAAACTCGGCTATGTCTTTGAATGATTCATTCCCATTATCAGGTGTCCAGGAGGCAATGAACATTTTACTTGACAGGTTAGGCAAATCTTCCTGTTCCACTTCTTGGACAAGTAACACCTCCTAATGCCTTTCTTCTGCCAGGAACTGTGTGGGAAAGGCCAAAAGGAAGAACACCGTTGGCTTGCTTTGTGGGAAGCATGTTCCTCATTGCTTATGTTATGACCCTTTGGAAAGGGAAATGGTAATTGGGTAGATTGTGAATGTATGCTTGTAGACGGAGGTTCCCTGAACACACAGGTATCTTGGTTGTAGGGACAGGCGCAAATGGATCTTGAATCTTACACACAGAGGGGAGGCCAAACTGTCTAGAACCAGGAGTGGACTAGGACTCTTCCACTTATCCATGGAAACCCACCGGTTGATTTTGGGCAAGGTGCACTCTTTCAGCCTGTGTATGTGTGCGTGCATGTGCAAGTCACCTGCTGACTTATGGTGACCCCATGAATTTCACAGGCTTTTCTTAGGCAAGGGATCCTCAGAGGTGGTTTTGCCAGTTCCTTCCTTTGAAACAGAGCCTGGGATATTCCCATCCAAGTACTAATTAGTTTGCAGTTGTAAACTGCTTAGAGACTGCATAGCGTGGTATGAAGTGTTATATAAATGAAGCTGCTATTGCTGCTAACCAGGGCTGACCATGGTTGGCTTCCAAGATCAGATGGGATATGCTGAGGAAGGCAATTGATAAGCCTCCTCAGGGGAGGCATAGTCAGCTTAGAGGCACTTGAGGCCGAAGGTCTGATCTGGCCCATAGTGAGTCAGGGCTGCCATTACAAAATGCCTCTAGGAGACAAATGGAGACCCAGAACTTCTGTGTCCCTACATGTTGGCTTGGGGCCTGAGGAATTGGCATTTGCCCTCGTTGCCCATGTTTTCCCCTTCCACATTGCACCAGCTAGCAGCTGGCATGAAAATGAAACTTGTTCTCAAGTTCCATGTAGCTCTGATGCAATGCCCCTTGGACCAATATCCCTTGGGCTTTCAGGCCCCCAGGGACCCTCCTTGTGAACTGGACTACAGGTTCTGGGGCCTGACCTGATAGACTGCCCCGGAAAGGATCTGGAGAAACCTGGAGCTGTCAGCGCCACTGCGTTTCCCTTTCCCTTTCCCTGGCAGCACATGGTGGGGGGGGGGGGGCTTCTGCGTAGCTATGAGTCACTGGTTCTAAAGATGGCTGACCTTTACTAAGTCTTCTAAAACAAGTTTCTTTGGAGCGGATTTCTGACTTAATCAGGGGGTTGTCTGGCTGTGCAGTCCCTCCCTTTCTCCAACCAAGAAGATTTTATTTGCCACCAGTCTTGAGAGGCAGAGGCGGTGTCTTTCGTATGTTGCTGCACCTGATGTCATGGGAATTATATGGATTTGGGACTCACAATGAATTCAAACCTGTTCTGGCCCCTCTGGTGACACCCCCCCCTGTGTTTTTACTGAAAGCTGGATGTCCCATGGTTTGAAACTTGCATCAGCCTTATGACTGGCTGCCAAGTCCTTCACACCAGTCTGGGCTGCTTTGTCAGATTTTGCTTGGCCATTGAACAGGGCGTGCTGCGCTTTATGGTGCACTTTCTCCAAAGTTGAAAAGCCATCCTTGGTGTTGATGATACGTTAACACAGTCACTATTGCCACTGTCTTATTCCATGAATGGCATTCAAGACTCCACTGGAAAAAAAATCACTGCAGCAAAGCTAAAACAACTGCAAAGTTAAAACAGCAACGGGTTGGATCCACTTTCATACACATTTATATTTTATTGGTTTATTTGACAAATTTCTAAATCATACTTTGACTCAAAAGTGGTTCCCTAATAACAAATGCATCTCAAGTGGTTGCAAAGCAAAATGGTTTCTAAGCCTCTTTTGTTGTTTTGTGTTGTCCTCTCTCTCAGATAGTGACAGCCGTGTTGTTATTGATGGGTGCTGCCTAGAATGTGAGGAGACAAAGCATTAGCCCCTGGAGATCTCTGGGGGAAACATGCCAGCCTGGATCCTTCTGAATTCGTCCCATTCAGTACCATGGCTTTTGTCACTATAAAGCTTCTCCTACCTGCTGGAAAATGTCTTTAAAGAGAGTAAATGTTAAGACTTGAGAGCAGGGGGTGGGCGAACTTCTGGGGTTCGTGGTGTGGGGAGAACAATGTTTGACAGGGTTTATAGCTGCCACTTCTGGAGAAGAGGCTTTGAAACCACAATGATTGTCCACATGCTGATTCCCTGGCACTGAGTTTTAGGAGCCAGACTAAAAGCTTTTTGTTTGCCCAAGTTTTTAATCTTTAATGGATTTGTGTTGCTCTTTGACTGGCAGGGAGCTAAACTCTTTTATTGCTGCTTGTTGTTGTCATGTGCCTTCAAGCTGACTCTGACTTAAGGTGACCTGCTGTTGGGTTGTTTTTTGGGGGGTGATGGTGGTCAAGATATATTCAGAGGGGGCTTGCTAATACTGCTGTCCTGTGAGGTTGGCAGAGTGTGACTTGCCCTAGATCCCCCTGTGGGTTCCCATGGCTGAGAAGGGATTCAAACCCAGGTCTCCAGGAGTCCTAGTCCAACATTCAAACCACTATGCCATGCTGCCTTTTACCGTTTTATTGGTACTTTTTACTTTTGTATTTTTTTAAAACAACATTCTTACTGATTTAAAGATTGGGAGCCATCTTTGGAAGCCTTTTTCAAATTTATGAAGTAGGATATAAGGTTATGGGGTAGAGATGGCATGTCCACTCAGGGTTATGCACAATCCTTAGACTTCTCACCTCTCACATACAGTTATTTGGTACCCAGATGGAGATGAGCTTCACCTAGAGGAGTGAATCAGCTTCACTCTTAAAACTTTTACAAGAATCAAATGAAAAATCACAAGTCACGTCTGCTCCATTTTGAGCTCCATATAACTTTTCATTAGACTCAGCGTGAAATAAACATTAGAGAGCCAGCGTGGTACAGCAGTGGGAGTGTTGGACTAGGACACTGGGAGACCCGGGTTCAAAATCCCACTTGGCCATGAAGACCCAATGGGTGACCTTGGGCAAGTCATACTCTCTCAGCCTCAGAGGAAGGCAGGGGGAACCCTCCTTAGAACAAATCTTGCCAAGAAAACCTTACGATAGGTTCACCTTAGGGTTGCCATAAGTTGGAAACGACTTAAAGGCAAGCAACAATAAAACAAATAGAAGGCATGGAGGGCCAAAAAGATGTTGTTGGAAGGCATGGTGGAGCCTTCATCTGGAGAATGTGATTCTTGAGTGGGTGATGAAGGATCCCATTGTCTGATTGATTGGGTTGCCTTGTGCCAGGGCAAAAGGTTTGCAAGAATTGCTCTGAACCGAGAAGGAGCCGAGCATCTGTTTTATTAAACAACTACTCAAAATATGCCCGTTTTCTTCCAAGAAAGTGCACTTGGCTAACAGTTACCACAAACCTTGCTAATTTTCTTTTACTGAAATCCTTTTTTGGCTCTTTGAAATACCACAATCTGGGTATGTGCATTTCCTGTTGACAGTAATTAAATTGGAGTGTTAATTCTCACCAGTGGGGCCTTCAGCCAACTGCAGTCTCCAGGGAAGATCCCCTCTGAGTCTTTCTTATTCGAGAGATGTACAGAGTTTGGGGGCTGCAGTTTGGGAGCTGGTGCCGGGTCTGTAGGTAGTCCTCTGTTAGCTTTCCTCCCAAACATGTCTGAGAAAGAGCGAGCATGCAGTTACTACACAACTACTGTGATGATCCCTGCTATGGAAATTGCTCCTAGCCTGTGAATGTGAGGGGGGAGAATCCTGCTGCTGCTTTACCTGTCTGCCATAATGCAAAAAGGTCTCTTCTCTTGAAATTAGGATGGGTCCTTGTGGAGGGATGGGCTTGTTTTTTCGGATGAGACAAGGGTCAGACACGCTTCAGGAGTTAAGAAACCAGTTCCTTCTGGGACCAGCTTCAGGCTTCACCGTGCCCCCAAATAAAAGTGGGATCCCCCTTACAGTCTCAGGCTCCCACCTGCCTTGAGGATGGACAAGACACCCAGGGAAAGGAACTTTGGTTAAAGGAGGCTTGCCGTTGGTGGATACTTTCAGGAATGGTGTTTTTCCTTTACCATGCTTTTTTTT